GTTTATCTTCTTCTCCCTGCCTGGTTCTGTCCTTTTTCCATTGTTCAATGCCAAGTTGTTCTGGCACCCGTATTAAGGCTGTTATGATTTGTAGATATCATGGTTAACTTAGTCGTAAAAGTGTCGTCAGAATCAACCAAATTTAAATTTACAACTTAACCATGTGGCTTCGAACTAATCCTTATCATTCATTGATAAAATCGACTTCCAACGAACATGAAATATCTCTTTTTTTTCATTTTCAACAGACGGAGAAGGCCCTGGGCGTGGGCAGCCTGGCAAAAATGCAGGGGCGGGGCATGGCGGAAAGGGCGGCTTATTGTTTGAAGATGATACGACTATTTATAGTAAAACATATGGAATACAGCCTGATGTACTCCTTATTGGTGGAAGCACTGGTGAGAACTATAGAATGTTCTTATTTGCATTTTCAGCTGAATTGTAGAGTTATATTGGTGTCAGTCAATAAACCCAAGTAGTTCAATGTTGTTATAAACGAACGGTGACAAAAACCTGAGAGCCATCACCACAGTCGAGAAAATTTAATTCCCTAAGCGGTAGTATTAATCAGGGAGTCTATTATAATTGAAGTCAGACATTGTCTGCATTGGTGGCGAGGTCGTCTCGTCGGTCAGTCGTTAAATGAATGATTGAGGTGGTTTTTCTCTCTGTCTATTATGCGCTTTATAAATTTGGCCCGTCCTTTGATGTTTTTTTCATTAACCCATTGACGAAGTTTAACCGCTAAACAAATCATTCATTCGCCTGTTGATTCAATGGCAATCAGTCAGCCTAGACGGTGAGCCTTCATGTCAGACAGTTAGCCGATTGTTTGTATTGTTAGGTCTTTGCTACCTTCCAGCGAGCAAAGCTTTTTAGAGATCTCAGTTTCTTTTGCTAATTCTAACTTTGTTAACTACAGGAACGTCGAATTGCTCGTCAAATCATTGTAAGTGACCATCACAAACAAAGACTGACTCCTTTCTTCCGTCGTTTTTCAATTATCATAAACAAACTGCTGTTTAATTCGTCCTTTGAATGCATATGTTGTGGTTCAATCTTATCCTTGGTTTAAATTTTATTTTCCATTGTTTTTGGTTATGGTAATGTATGATAATAGGGTTGAAACAATGGAAAATAAATTTTAAACCAAGGATAAAATCGAACCACAACACAATACACAAAAAACAACTTCCAGATATTGTAATCCGGTGGGTTTTCAAAGAAGTGAGCTTCGAATTTTTCCCTTCGATGTAATTTGATTGCGGATGTGAAAGGAGAAGATGTGGAAGGTTGTCAAAGTAACAAATACTCTCTGTCATTTGAGCTCGCCTATGTGCGCAATAAAAGAAGCGACTTAAAGTTGTGTCTTTCGGGGTATTTTTCGACATTTTTCAAGTAATTTCGGCCAGAATAATCGCGGTGAAAGTCTGAACTTAGAAACTAATACGGAGATAAAATGAAGTATCCCGTGTTTTTCCTACACTGAATGTTTAACTCGAGTGTCAAAAGTGATTTTCTGTCGCTCGGCGTTTCAAACGCGAGCTTCCTGACAGGCAAGGGACCTTTCCCAATTTATTCCTTCCAATTAAACTTCAACCATATCTTACAGGTACCACTCAAGATTCCAATCTGGTGATTGGTTGTGGTGGCGGAGCCATCGAAATTTCCTCAGAAAAGAACTTAACAATCGGTAAATATAGTGTGTTGATCATAACGAATTGAAGAATTTACTCTCTTGAATCTACAAATAACATAAGCTAGATTTTTTTAGTTACGGATCCGCTCTAGTCTATTCATCTCGAACCGCTGTAGAAGCAACCTAAACCACAATTGCTTATCTTTCACCTTTTTCCTTTAGCATTTCAGGCTTTCTCCCATATAAAGAATCGATATTGGCAACATGAAAATTTGGCTGTTTTCCACTGAGAAGTTAGCTGGGTCCTTTTTGACAAAACTTGCTACATCTCCTCCAAAGTGCAACATTCTTGCATTTGTCAAGGGTTACGGGTGCCCTCCGTGCTGTAATATGCATGGTAATCGCAAATTGCCAAAATTGTCGTTAGATAGTGAGGTAAAGATTGTTTTCATTGTGTTTCAGTCGTTAGATAGTGAGGTAAAGATTGTTTTCATTGTGTTTCAGATGCTGTGATCAGCGCTAATGGTGAGACTGCCACATTTGAATCCAAAGCTAGTATGGGTGGAAGCAGTGGTGGAACAATTATTCTCAGATCTAGAAAGGTGAATGAATAAGTAGAAAACATAAATTGACTGACGAGATAAAGACTTAAAATATTTGATTGGAACAAACAAAGAAAGAGACGTGGGTGGGCTATGATGTGAAAAATTTACTTAATGAAATGTGCTTTTCTTCTTTGTTTGTCGAGAGTTGACGTGTATAGAGATATCAACTTGAGAAAATCAGTTAAATTTAGTCATGATTTGTCTCCAAGCCAATTACTCTTTTATTGACTGCTGTTCGCCTAATTGCGATGAGTTGAGATTCTTTATAATATTTGCAGATTCACGTAGAAAAAACTGTTAACTCTGACCTGAGAGAATTAATTTGTTCCCTTTTCTTTGTTTCAAAGCATGTGATCCTCGGTGACAATGCGAGACTGGAAGCCACGGGAGCAGACGCACATGCAATAAATGGCAGCAGATCTATCCGCCGTGGGGGAGGGGGAGGAGGGGTAATCGCAATCTTTAGCAATGGCGCACCACTTGGAACTGAAAGACTATCTGCGAATGACAGCACTGCGGGTGGAACTGGTTCCACTGATGGAGACAACGGCCTGGTGGTTATCGACAGTATGTTATCAATTTTAAGTTTTAACTGCTCTACTTTCAATGGACAGCGTCAGTTTACCATGCTCCATACGAACGGCCGGGCAGACAGCAAGAATTGAACTTTCAGTTTCTGCCATGTAGCCGATTGTTCAGTAGTCAAAATTAGTTACATTTTTGGTGAACACGGTTATATTGCGAGGGTAAAAAAACAATAATTTTTTTAATGGAAGTATCGAGGTGCCGTTGTGAACTTGATAGACACCATGAATAATTAAATTCTTCCAATCCTTTACAGATGTGACGCAGTACGGATATCCAGCGGAAGGTAATCATTTTCTCGTGGAAACTGTAAGAAGAGATGTTATACAAACGCTTTTCTCTTTGTCCCACTCTCGCGACGAGATCAATAATTTTTTTCTTTACTTTGACGGCTTTTTGTAAAACGGGTAGTGATGTAGAACCGAAATATTTATGGTTAGATTTTTCTGGACTGGATCCCTGAGATTACAGTGCACTTTGATGTTTTTTCTTCTGTAGTCTTCCGTAATTTATCAAGAACGAATTTGTCATCGCCTCCCCCCTTCCCTCCTCCCAGTCTCCAAAAACCGAAATGAAAAATTTGAATCGCATCGGTGACTCTCCATTTCCCATTGGCTGGCTATGTGCTGCCAAACGGGGTATAAAAAGAGTATGTTCTTCGAAGTCTTAAGTCCCAATCAGGGTATGCAATTCCATTATTTAACCTGTCGAACAGCTAATCTTTTCGGAATGGATGTACTCGAAATAGCTTGAGGAATGGCAATGCCTGGTCATCATATAATTATGGTACCACGAGGTCAATATGACAATCTCGATGCAGGTATCCTTGTCAGCTTATTCTCAACCCATTTTCTCCTTTCCGCGTTCCCCCAGGTTTTTAGAATATTTTATATTTTTTTTAATGGGTAGCGTGGTCTACCACTCAACCAGAAAGAACTTGTCTCGATCGTTTTTATTCTGTGTACAACTTCCTTCCTAAGGGAGGGGTCGATCAGCAACTTTATTTAATAAAAAACCAAATCCTTACTGGACGAAAAAACCAACTCCCTCATTACAGTCAGACAGATTTCGCTGAGTTTTCCTCTTCTTTTTTAACAGTTATTGAAGTCAGCGAAAGCTATGAAGGATGTGTGAATGGTAGTAATATATCCAACTCCCAAGATGAGACTATGAAAGCCCATGAAGCTTCACCATCAAAATGCATCGAGGTTTGCCGTGGAAGAAAATTAAATTGGGCTTACATAAGGGGAAAAACCTGCAAATGCTCGAACTCCAACCTAACCTCGTCTGAACCCAAGTAAGCGTGCAATGAAAGATGTTGGTCAAATTCTTCACTTGTTTGTGGTGGCGATGATGATGACACCTTCAGTGCATACAAGACAGGTAAATCAGTTATTTACCACCTTATGTTCAGTATATATTCTATCAGAAAGAATGTAGCTAAGGGATTGGCTGTATTACCCAATTGGTTTTACTTCTTTTTAGAATCCGTATTAAGTTATTTTTGTATCATCTCAGTCATTAAGGCTCCATGAAAATCCAAATAAAAAGTCCATTGTCGTGAAATGCAAAATGGCTTTTCGTTAGCAGAGCACGTGAGATAATTTTAGATTTATTCCAGAGAGACCAGGTACCTTGGTCTCATAGATAACTTGTAAAAGGTTATGCTTGGAAAAGATCTCCGATGAGAATCAACGAGAAGTTGTCCTCATCTCGATGCGCTGGGGAGATAGCACTGGCAGGTTCAAAAGAACACGAGCTGACATGAAGAACACGAGAGAAACGAAGTCGGAAAGGTCCTTCTTCAAAAATTTAGTTGCAAAGATGCTTCAGTCGCATTAAGACTTTCTTTATTTTATCTCCTACTGAAGGATAAAGCTATCTAAAAAAATCGATTTCATTGGTCCTTGTAGGTTCAAGCATATAAATGACATTTGGGTCAGTAGGTGAACGGGTACTTCTTTCTATAGAAGCATTTAGAGTTCTGGGCATCTGCATCCTTACTCGCTCCTCTCTGTTTTTTTTTTCCCTGGCAAGAATCTTGCCAAATTGGCCGGCAAACAACACTGCTTGTAATTTGGATTAGCGTTGTAAACTAATTTTTTTTTATTTTGACACAACATACCAGTAATTGCAAACGAGATTAAAACTACAGAGAAAGAAGGTTCGAGTTACATGATACATAGCTCGTGCTTATTCAATTATTCAGTTGAAAAGATTGAGATGGTGCCTCTCAGTGGGATATATTTGAATAAAATATTGTTTATAACTAATAACAGCTGTCGTTTGAATTTATCAAAACTCATATTTCATGTTCATTTGTTACCAGTCGCGAATCCAGTAGCATTTTGTCCTCTGTTGCCCACAGGAGAAGAAGCTTTCTTCACAAATCTAAAACTAAAAAAAATCATAGTAATGTATTCAGCTCTTGTTAATGAATTAAAAAACGAACTGTAATGTACCAATCAATAATCAAGGGCGAGCTTAACCTCTAAATTCTAAAACAGTTATAAGCTATTTTAATTTATCCAGTTTTTGGCAGTGATTGACGTTTCTGTTATATGACACTGGATTAAGCAAAATTGGCAGACCTTTCCGATATAATAATTCTTTGATATAAAAACTTAAGGTTTACAAGATATATTTTTGACAGGCATTGCGAATTTTCTTTCACTGAATTTGAATGTGATCAGTGTGGCCAACGACCTTTGAAGTGACAATTTTTCTCCGCGAGTAATTAACTACCCATATCCATTTTGGATCGCTAGTGAAAGGGTTGAATATTTAATTTAAAGGCAAACTAAAATTTACATAAGCAAGCCTAAGAGCTCTTTTACTGATGGATATGAAGATTGCTCTTCAAAATCAACAGTTTTGCCATAGCAAAGACCTCAATTTGGATGGTAGGATTTATCAGATTCAACCCAACGCGACTCACCGGGAAGGTTTTGGGATCTAGGAGCGAAGATTTCCACTTTTCAGTATCAAACCTATGGATAGTGTTTGTTTACTGGTGGGCGCATTGCATATTTCAGGAAAGGGAACCGACATTGTTCGAAGAGCTCCTATCGCTTTCATTGTCTTCCGGACACTTGATTTTAATGAAAATTGAATCTTGCATTCATATTGCCTGGCGTTGACAAAGAAGCAGGTCATTTCTTGGAACGGCAAACTTCGAAAAAAACCGAATTCAAAACGGATCCTCGTGCAATTTTGACAACAGCAAGAGGGTTTTGATGAAGAATTTCGCAGTCTGGTGGCCATGGGTGCTGGACAGTGTGCAAATCTCAACATAGTTGTACCTCAAGAAGGGGAATTGCTCGGCCCATATCTGGCAAACTGCGTTATTATGTCAATTCTAAGTATAACATCTGTCATAGGGAACGTTTTAATCTTGGTTTCCATTTGCAGAGCTCCTGAATTTCTTCGCCAGCCGTCGTACTTTCTTTTAGTCAACTTGACTGTTGCCGATTTGTGCGTTGGCTTCATAGCCGAACCTCTCTATTTGATATACAAAATATCTTATTTAATCAATCCGCTCTCTGTAACGTCCTGTTACGCAGGATATGTCTTTAACCTTGTCTCTTTCCTTTTAACGTCGCTGTCGCTTTCGACCGCAGCAGCAATATCTCTGGATCGATTAATGGCGCTTCATCTTCACATGAAATATACCTCCATCGTGACCAAGCAAAGAGTTGTTATTTTGATCGCTATTTTGCTTGTATTCAGCTTGGCTTTCGCTTCCATGTTTGAGTGGGCCATCGACGAGCAGAACACTGTGTTGGCGTGCGCTAACTCTCTCGCTTTGGTTGTCGCGTTGTTGTCTTACGTAAGGATATTCCAAATTTTGCGCTACCACCAGCGACAAATTTCCAGTCATCAGGTTGGTGAAATATCATCGTTCACCTACGGGGGAGAAGTGGACTCGATGGGTACCTCTTTTCAGGGAGAGGAAATAAGGGGAAATCAAAGAGAAGCTACCAAAGAGATCGATGGAAATAGACGAAATGTGATGCGAAGAGATGACAAACAAATTGCCGAAAAAAGTGAAGAACACTATCAAATACCTGACGGTGAAAATCCGGTCAAGAACAACAAGCAATTGCAGACGAAGGCATCATTTGTCTCCCGTGAGAATCATGGATGCTTTGATTCAAAAGAAGACTTGGAAAACGTCCGATTTGATGGCGAATTGAAAATTGTTGAAGATAAAGGTCAGGAACAGGAGAAGGAGATGCATCTGAGATTCGGAAGCACAATTGCCCATCTTGGGGAAAGGACACTGGACCATTCACGAGAAGGGGAAATTGATGTACGGCAAATCGAAGAAGGAAACGAAAAGTTGATAAGAGTGGATGTGAATGAAGGAAGAAGGAAGGGAGAAACAAGTAGTAAAATGAACCACGAATGCCCAATCGAAATGACAGCTTTTAATTCTTTGAGAGCAGATCGAAAAGCTCCTCCAAGCAATCAGATGGAAGGAGAAAATTTCGTTCTTGAAGAGAAGCATAACGAAAGCCGATCATCAGAAGGCGAAATCCATTTTAATGGATCTAAAAAGAATCAGAATCGTTTGTTTACAACAGTAGCAGCTTCCATGAGACAGACAACACAAGAAATGACTCATGAAATGACTGGCAACCCTGTCACCATTGTTGATCACGATAGAATCAATACAGACACCAACGCGCAAAGTGACATTATTATTATTAATAGAAAGAACAAATTGAGAATGAGAAAGTTCCAAAAGTCATTCTATAACATGTTTGTTATATGGTTTCTCATGTTACTGTGCTATTTACCTCTTATCTGCACATCTATATTGTTCTTATTGATTGGACGCAGTTACTCTATGCACTTAGCCTTCAATTTCACAACATCTGTTATGTTCATGAACTCTAGTATAAATCCTGTCTTGTTTTGCTGGAGAATACGAGAGTTTCGCGCAGCTGTGAAGAAAACACTGAAAGAATTGTTTGGACTTTGGAGCGATCGCAGTACTTAATGTAACACTGATAGAGAGGATATCGATTATGTTAATCTTGAATACAATAAATCTGTTTGGTCCATCTTCAAAGCTTGAAAAAGAACCATTAGTGGTTTTTGTGTGTGAGTGAGAACTTAACGCTCTCGACAGCTAACCAAATACTTTTTTTTCCCAAAAACATATGTACGATTTGAAAGCGCTTTTCTACTATCAGTGTAATATATCACAACGTTCAGGCCGATTCGACGATGTATAGATTCTAACAATTTGTCGCAGACATTGTGAGCGATTTTTTTTGGCTTTTTTTACAGTGTTGTGTCTTTCTGTCATCCCCACAAAAGCTGTGTTTGCCATCACTCAGGAAAGCGAAAGTCAAGCTTCGCTCATGTACGCCAGTGTAATTTACATATCAAAACCTCCGTTCTGTATAATTAACTCGACTGATAGTTTTCTACATATTTATTTACATTTATTTGTTTAATAGCGTGCAATCTAAGAAAATCTGAAATGGCATGGGAATAAAACGCGGCTTGATTTTTAAGGTTTAACCGTTCTGAACTAAGATAAGAAAGAAATCACACAGATATATGTATATAATTTTTCCGGATTCGCATGTTTTTATTTAACAAGCTCTGTTATTGGCTCTTGAAGATTGCTTTGTCGTCTCAACCAATAAAATGATGCGAGCTAAAGGTAACTTTAAAATGGATAAAATGCTCTTCCACGCTTGGCGCGTTCCTGTCACTTTTGTTTGTCTCGTGCTGTGATTATCTTCTGATCATGATATTCGTCACTTTTATTGGTTTTCTTATTTTTATTAAAAACACAGGAATTAACGCTTCGGGATATGTAACGAGTTTTAAGTTTATGAAAAGAAACACGAGCGAATATTTAACAATTATTCCACGAGCGCGCATTGGATATGAGATGATAGATAGCCAACGAGGCGCGTAGCGCCGAGTTGGCTATAATCATCTCATATCTTTTTTCTTCTTTAGTGTCCCCAAGTTAGTAAGGGATTTTTCCCCAGCTAGACGGCTCAAATCTTCTCGACTTTATTTTGTAAGAAGAAACCGGATGTTACAATGTACAGACATTAGATTATGGTATATTGGCTCATATACCATAATGGCTAAGCCAATAAAAAGTCTTGAATTGCATTATCCAATGATCCAGTTTTTAATAATAGAGGATATAATTTATCTTTGGAAATATAATTTGTTTCTATCGAACTCTAATTGCAAAATATTATTTTCAATCAAGATCTGAAAGAAACTGTTCTTACTAATAAGAACTTTAGGACAATAATAAAATATTTTTTGAATATAATGCCTTTGATAATTATTTCCAACTGATCTAATTTAGAACCACAGCAAAGTAAAAGTAGAGCACTATTTTTTTTTCTCGCGTTTTTCTTGTTTTGCTTTGAGATATCATTGTTTTGTTGTGATATTTTTCCCTGTCCACCGCTGGCCGTAGTGATTGCTTTGGTTTTGATTCTAAGCCACTTGATCGAAAAAAATAGCTTTCGGAACGAACGTTATTTGTGAACTTTAAAATTTAGTTTCTAAAGCTGCTCAGCGTAATGGTTAACAATAAAATTTTTATTCTTTCGAAACGTCGAAATCTTATAAACAAATGTTATTAGGAAAAACAAAAACTCGAAAAAAAAATAGTAAAAAAAATAAAAAACCACTAGCCAGACTTCTTTCATGTAAGCAGAGCAAGGAAATAAAGAAACCAGTTCGTCTGTTAATGTTAATGTTCAGCATAATAAGGAAATAAAGTAACCTGTTCGTCTTTTAATGTTTTCAGGCTATGTCGTTGAATTTTCATCCGCAAAGATATCCACTGCAACCTTGGCAGTTTTTACCCCGTCATCAATAGTCAATGCCATATCGCCAAACAAGACTGTGATGGTAACAGCTTCCTCGACAATCGTCTCTGCAGCTTCCTCGAACATCTCTGCAGCTTCCTCGAACATCTCTGCAGCTTCCTCGAACATCTCTGCAGCTTCCGTGACCATCTCTGCAACAACGACGCCTACCGCTACCGAAGAAGCGAAGGTTACCGGAGAAACGAAGACTACCGAAGAAACGAAGCCTACCGAAAAAACGAAGCCTACCGATAAACCTACGACTAGACCCCAAGATGAACCATCGGGAAAGGTGAAGTTAATCTAAAAGAGCCATGATTGCTAGAAGACTAGAGGATTTTAAATTTTGCCATATACAAGGTGTAAATTTTGTATTGGTTAACTGTCTTCCACCGTTCAAAGCCGAGGAATAAGTTAAAAGTGTAGTCTACAGCGACTTGCATTTTGAGATGACATTTTCTCGTTCAGCATGGGTATTTCGTCTTGTATGATCGTCAGCCTAGCTTGATATATCTAAAGCACACTAATTAGTAAACTAAACTTGCCTTTTGTTTTTGAATTTTTAGTTCAAAGACATCGCGAATGTCACGATCACAGACGAAAATGTCGTTGAGGTTGTAAACCAGCTCGAAAACCTCACCAGTGAGGGAGATATGAATGGCGGGGACACGAAAGTCGCGCTGGAAATCTTACAGAAAATCACCAGCAACAACAGTTTACTTCCCAAAGACAAATCTGGAAGGAAAAAAATGGGACAGGTCAGTGTAAAAATTAGCGATGATATTGATGCTAATGACGATGATGGTTATCCGAATGAAGACAATGATAGTGACGATGGCGACTATGATTATGGTGACTATGATTATGGCGATAATGGCGACGTTAATGTAACGGCAAAAGCGGCATCAAAAATCATAACAACCAGGAAAGGTGATAAATCGCCAAATTTTCACCAGGGGTGAAGTCATTTTGATGGTCTATTCCGAGCCAAAAATGATGATAATTTTGGTAAACCTGGATGAGCAACGTCTTACTGTATCCTCCATTTCATTCATTCCCCCAAAGAAATCACATCATACGGTGGCCATTGTGAAAATTAGCCATTCACTTTTACAATCTTCTCGTGCTTGGTGATTACAGCAAGATATCATGAAATTCAGACCAATCACAGAAACTGAATCTCTATAATAAGCTGGCTCTTTCGTTTAAAGCATGATCAGCACCAGTGTACCTAAAAGTACTTTTTCTTTCAGAGCATTGTTCAGGTGGCCAGTTCACTCTTGTCAAAGAAAAACGCTGGCAATTGGGGCATACCAACAGAGAAGGAAAATAACACGGACAAGGTTAGTGCAATTAGCAACAATTAGAGTTTCTATGTAAGTAATATATTAACGAATCTATCGTAGATAAAACTGACATTCTTCCCCTCGTTAACTTAATTTGATCACACTAATTTCTTGCTTGATTTTAGGCAACTTCTCAGACCCAAGTTTTAGAAGTTATAGAACACATTGGTCTGCTAATTGGAGAAAAACTTGGCGATAATGACAGCTTGATCGTGGAAAGTGCAAATATAGGTACGTAACAAGATATTTGAGCTTAGTCTTCAATTTCAATACTTTCATGGAAAGTTTGCCTGTTACCTGCATCCTGGTTTCCGTTGTGTGAATTACATGAGAAGAAGATAACCTCCCATAGATGGGATTATAGGTTACCTCAACGAACCAAGAATTTTGTCAGGTTTTTTTGACAGATCGTTGATATCTATTTACATTACTGAGTGGAAAGAAGCACTCTGAAGTTAACTGTCTCGCCCAAACAACACAACGCAATCGCAAACCAAACAGCCATTGCCCCCCTTATGCTGGTGCAATACACGACTATGCTTATACGATTGGTTGCTATTTTGACTTTCTTGATACAGCTATGGGTGTAGAGACCAAGATACCTGACAAGTCTTCTCCTGGCGCTGAATATCCCAGATATGATGAACTCGGATCAGAATGGAGAGGACGGGACCGTGTGTTCGTTCATAGAAAATTCTTCGACGAGATGGCTGCAGGTTCGTTCGACTTTGATCAAGCTGCGCTCTTTGATGCTCATAACAAACTTCACCGGATAATTTCAGCGATCAGCCGTTGATCCGTAGTAATTTTGTTGTTTGTCACCTTTTCATACGGCAATTAGAAGAAGTTTGCCAATGAGCACATGCTATTAAGTAGCCTACAAGTATGTCGTCTGATGCCATCTCTATTTATATACATTTTGGTACGTTAAATCGGCGTTTATGAAAACAATTTCTAAGAAAGATCGTGTTATTAAAGAAAGTTTTCTTCGTAGATAAGAGCTCGAGAACAACAGTTGTCTATGCCATTTATAATCAAGTCAGTGAGCATTTCCCTGCTAATACAATCAACGATCAGAGGTACGGTGTCTTTTTCTTACTTTCTTTGTTTATTTACTTTGTTTATAACACATTAACAATTTTCACTGTTCAAGAGGTCCTTCGAAGCAGTTCCTAAAGCATAAATCATATTTGAATATATGTCAAACTTAATTATACACGCATTTTTGTTGGTTCTAAGTTCACTAAGTAATTATTAGAAGCACTACCAAAACATTAATCATACGAAGGCCTGTTTTTCACAAAATTCTAGAAAAGACTAATTTCCGGTTTGACTTCAAGAGAACCTGCAGCCATCTTGGCCCTATGTATTCTCTATATGAGGGTTGTTTTCATTAAATATAGGTCCTCCCACTGCTAGTTTTCGGCCCTCTTGACACTGTTGTCAAAAAATAAATGTTCAGATAAAAGAATCAGCTAAACTGAAGGCAGTTTAGAACGCAGTTTTGCAAAACAATGGCTTAACTGTGTTTAAAATACCGGCTCTCATAGTTTAATTTTCTTTTCAGCTCTGAGAGTCTCATTGTGAACTCCCGAATTCTGGCTCTAAAGTTTAACAAGCAACTTACCACTCCATTGAAGACGCCTATTAAACTATGGTTTGATAAATTGGAGAAGGTTTGTTTCGGTTTTGTTTCCTCTGATTGCAAGAATAACCATTTGTGCGATGATTTGACCTTTAAACGCTATTGAAAATTTTCACTCTTGACCACGAGGCTGGGGTTGATGGATTATAGTTTAACCTGAAATACCAAAAGATCATAAAATTGTTGAAAACAATTCCAAATACCATACATCTGAGTAAAAAGATCTCTAGAATGCCAAAAACCACAGACCAGGCCTGATGCCTCAACCATCTTCCTCTCGATTTCAGGGCAAAAATGTTACAAAGCCTTCTTGTTCATTTGTGGATTTCAAGAGGTAAGGAAAATAAACCGCACTTCAGATGATGTTGAGATCTCATATATTCATGCCTTAGTTGTATGTGGAATTTAGATTGAGAATATTTGCATTTCTGTGATATCTGTTTATTTCAGCGCAAGGGGTTTGTGGTCACACAAGGGATGTCACGTGGTCAAGGAAAAGGACAAGGATGTCGAGTGCGCTTGCGATCATCTCACAAACTTTGCAATCTTGATGCAAGTCAAGGAATTTGAAGTATGTTCTCTGTTTTCTTCTGCATGCAGTAAATCACTGGAGTATAGGAAAACGGAATGCTTATTTTTGGAATTGTTGATAGTGGTTGGAAACCCTATGAACAATTTGTCAGATTTCATCATGACCAAGAGAAACGCAAAAATAAAGAGTTATCAAAACGCATTTTCTTTCATAAATCGTTTGGGCCTCTATCAAATCAAATCAAAGTGAAACATGATTTTTTTAATAAGGAACATGAGGGTCCGATGCTCAGACCTCTTTTAAAGAAAATTAATCATCAACTTTTGTTTTTCCTAACAATTACTTCCTGTGGTCTTTTAGATTGAGCCGGATCATTATAAAGCTTTGACAGTCATCACCTATGTAGGATGCGGGGTTTCGTTATTTGGACTGGCGCTCACTTTGGCGACTTTCTTGTCACTTGAGTAAGACATTTCTCCTCGTTAATGCTGCTGCTATTGTTGTTGTCGATTTTGTCCTTGCAACCTTTTTTATTATATTCTGGACCTCATAAAGTAGTGAATTATGAGCGTGGTCTAGATGAGTCCCACACATTCTCTTCATTCACGAAGCATCGTCGTTGACCTTGGTTTTCTGAAGATAATTCTATCATTTCATTGGAATTTTTTTCCCTCATTTTTAATAAGTTAAAGGGTCGTGTTTATTACAGGACGTTAGCTTCAGAACGGACCTCAATCCACAAGAATCTTGTGGTAGCCATTGGACTCGCGCAGATAATTTTCCTGGCCGGCATAGATGCCACATACAACCCCGTAAGTATCAGTAGGACTCAATGACATTCAGATAAAAACCATTTACTTGTAACTAAATATTGACGCAGTTAAGTTTATAATGTGCAAATCATTTTTAATCAAGTTCAAAGGATTTAGTAACGCGTGAGATACTCACAGTTTCTGAACTTTCTTTGCGGCGCCCTACGTGGGGGGTCAACCCAGACGGGCGACAAGGCCAGGAGATTATGGAGATGTAATTTGGTTCTATCAACTAAGTTGAAATTGTAAATTGGCCACCGTAAAGCGTTAAAAAGGTGACGTTTCGAGCGTTAGCCCTTCGTCAGAGCGAATGATTATGGAGATGGTTCTCAGGCCGCCTGGGTTCACATAGACAAGAGTAGAGAGGTATACGACTTGTACATATGCGACTGTAGACAATTCTCCGGGAAATGAACTGCCCTGATTCCTTAAAATAAGACTTGAGGAATGCATGATCCGCTCTCGGTTGAAATAAAACGGAATTGACAAAGATCATTTCTCCCTCCGCAGATTGCGTGCAAAGCCGTCGCTTTATTCTTGCACTATTTATACACAGCGGCTTTCACGTGGATGTTATGCGAAGGAATTCATCTGTACAGCAAAGTGGTCGAGGTATTCAGCGAGGGATCTAAGATGAAATACTACTACGCCCTAGGGTGGGGTAGGTCGATTTTTTTCCTTGGCTGCTCTAGCACTGATACAAAACGAGCATGACAATTGAAAAATTTGCCACAATTGGCAGTGGGTCAAAAATTGTTGCGGACTCCCTCGGCTGCGTCTCCTGAGTCCACAAAATTTTGACCATGGTGATGACGAATATCGATGTCGATAAGAGTAAAGACCACGCTAAACCACAGTCGATTTGTTAAGTCTAAACTGTGTTATTCTTTTTAGGTCTGCCGCTGACAATTGTGTTCATTTCCGCCTGTTCCCGCTGGGGAGGATATGGGAACGAGCGAGCGTACGTATACGTAATTAGTGAATCTAAGGCATGGTTTATGCCTCTCGAGAAATTGATCCTAAATGTTTCATGTTTCAATTTGTAATTGCCTATTGATCCCATCCACCCTACTTTTGAGGTGATTTTGTATTTCGCAGAAAAACCACTCAAAAAGATATCGAGGCTCATCCTGTTGATTAGATTAGAATATAGTTAGATTAGAATAACATTTCCTACAAAGTCTTGCTTCACCGTTTACTTTTATTTTCCAGCTGTTGGATTTCAATTACTGACGGGCTTATTTGGGCTTTTGTTGCTCCGGTTCTTATAGTGATGACGGTTAGTACTTCAGTCGCTCAATTTTGCATAAAGTTACATCCTTTGCTAAATTCCCAGTTGCACAAGAATTGCGCATTCTTGCAGAAGGCGATCGCGTTTGTGACAGAGGTCTTTCGCAATCCTTGCTGTCACCAATCCCCTCTATTCCTACCTTTACGTATCTGTTTAGTACGGCTGGTGCAACCTTTCGCAAGGAAATTTTGGTAATTTACCTTAGAAAGTGAAAATTACAAAATGAAAAGCAATATGAAACGCTGAAAGTTTACGACTTTGCAAAAAATGTTAAAAAGGACTCGAAGGTCGCTAACGCTATACTTTACACCACAGCTTTTGTTTTTCACAGGGCATGATATTCGAATCCTAAATTGATGTTAGTGGATATAATTGCTAAAATCATGCTCAAACACGCCATTTTGGTTTTGCAGATTAACTTTGTGGTTATGATAATGGTGATCAGAGTCATCATTGCATCTGTGACGTCCCTACAGAATCCTGGCAATGCCTCCCAAGTCAGGTACCTGCATCCTGTTATGCCTTCGCCGTTTTTCGTTTTAACTTACATTTGTTGACAAAGTCCACTTGCTTCATATGAGTTCTTCCTTACCCACCAGTTGTTATGTGTGTGCAGTTTATATTTGTAGCGCACGCGTTGACGCTCATGTTCCTTGTCATGCCACGGTGCGCCCATTCATTTCTGCGTTTGCTCTTTCACTCGTTCTTTCATTATTGTGATACTCTGTACGTTTCATCATTTTTTTCTGTAGGGCTGGTGTCAACGGCATGATTGTCCTACTGCCTCTTCTCGGTTTGACCTGGGTATTCGGACTTTTGGCCATCAATAAGGACACCATTGCCTTCCAGTATTTATTTGCCATCCTCAATTCACTTCAGGTCAGAAATTTCTTGTCTTAGTGAGTTTTAAGCTAAGAGAGTCTTCTTCTTGAGTCCTATTCCGTTAGTAATCCACCTCAAAGTTATCTAATACCATATATGAAAAATGTAACAACTGCTGTACCTCGCGTACGCGTTCACGTGTTAGGTGCATACTTTGGTGGGGAGCTATTAATGCTGCCTGTGGGTTTAGTGCTGTTTGTTCTCATTCTCGATAGATCTGGGATAAGGGGGAACGAGATTGATCTAGAGAAAGTTTCAGAGGGATACGTTGGAATTAAGTCCTAAATGAGAATCCCATCTCTTAGCATGACCATTTCTTGACCTCAGCTGACGCTTGTCGATTCCCGGATAGTAACTAATGCATTATAATTAAAAAATCAAATTGTGATGACGAGATATAGAACATAGACTTCGCTTTCTTCTCCTTTAATACAATAATATTCCAATATTTTTCAAGCCCTTAAACCTGTGTGTTGCATATTCCACTGATTAAGGAGCTGTTTTTTATTTTCTCATGTAGTAGGATTCTTAATAGTACTAAAAATCTCGACCTATCCCACAAGTTCACGTGCTTTGTTGTTTATGACTACGGTTACTCAAACTATGTCCCAATCCCCAGAAGTTAATCCTCACAAGAATCTTTACTGACACATTTTCCCTTTACTACAGGGACTTTTCATTTTTGCTTTCCACTGTATCGGAAACACCGAGGTATGAAATTTTATGCAATGCTTTATTGGCGGTTTGTCTAAATTTTATCATTTTGAGCCATTCCTAACGTAAATCCTTACTTTTATAACATAACCAAAGTAAAGCGCGCTCTGCTTGGTCAATTCAGTGGCGTGAGCAAATGCAAGACTAGTTTCCGTGTGCTTGTTTTTTCTGGTCACGTAAGATTCCAGTGTTAAATGAAAGGGAACCCCTTTGCTACAATATATCAATGTTATGTTATATAACAAATGGTAAACACCACAACGTTCACTATTAAGGTTAAGTTGTGGATGCACCTGGAGGGTTTGGTGTTTACTATTTTTTGATTATGAACAGTCGGTTAACCATGATTTTACTCTTAGGTACGAGTTGCATACAAAAGACTCCACGAGAAAAGGACTTTGGCAAAAAGCCTTCCTGAACACTCTCTGTCCTCAACACACCATATGTCGAGCCGGGTAAGTTGTTAAATATATACACTCAAAACAAGCCCATTGTGTAAGTTGGAGACGCGCAACTCGAATTGTATACGGCGATCGTGGCAAGTCTAATCGGCTAGGGAAGTAGCAAGCGATTTCGACGTTGATCGATACGAGTACACTTCGTGAATTTTCGAGCCAATCACGACGACTACGCCTTTCGAGTGTGTTTCCAATTTCTTTTTGAAGTAATTTTGAAAATCGCGTTATCTTACTATAGCTAAGGACCTTAGAGACGTTTGTTTCGAAGCAGCAATCATAATCGCCGGTTTAATTAAACGGGCACAAAAGTCGAATACCGGCGATTTATATATTCGCAGCGATCGTTGAAAATCGTCAGGCACGCAGCGAGATAGTTTGACAACTGTTCCACATTTGTCTTTTATGCATTCTCTTTCACAGCCGTTGAAGAAACGAATGGACTCTCACGAGACGAACTTTACCGGGGATGATGACATCATTGTTACTAAGAGCATTCGAAGCGTGTCGGGTAAAGACTATCCTCGAGCTTAATTAGTCGAAACATGTTTTTTAATTATTGAAAGATGTTGCTGCTTTAAAGCTAGCGCGCTAGATTCAGGATCGAAATGTACCGTGGGCTAAGGCTCACTGGGGTCCTTCTGTTGTGTTGTTGTGTAACATTAAGGCATGACCTGCGATGCTCTAGCATCCAGAGGCGAGTCTTAATAGTCATTGTCACTTACTTTTATAGAAAATGGGATAAGTTGCGGCGGCTACTGCAGACACTGCAAAGCGCAACCGGAAAACGTGAAAAATGGCGGAAAAATCGTGGTCACGCGGTCACGCTTGCCTTTCACGTTTCACGTAAACGCGGTGCTAAATCTCTCTTATTTCACACAGAGGGTAAATTATTCTTACCTCCATTCATGATTTTTTTTCTTTCCACCAGATGTGAAGATTTGTGGAGACAACATGGCTTTGCAAACGGTTAAGTATAAACAAACTTAAGAACTCAATTTCAGTTCACCCGCTGTTGTGATTCTAAATTGTAACAGATATAAAATGATACCGGTGCTTGCGGAAAAGCGGGGCGTTATCTTCACGTGTAATGATTTTGTATACTATCAATTAATAATATAAAAAAATTAATTTATGGGTCATTACATTAAATCTCGACCGATGTGGTTTCTACTGTTTATACCATATGAATTCATTGCACTCTCACTCGTCGAATATATTTTATAATTTGTATTTTTTTAAACGTGTTAATGAACTAAATCTTGCCGAGGATCGCTAAGTTAATTCGTTTTCATCAATTTCAAAATTAATACGTAATAATGTGTGTTTTTATACCGGTGTACAACAATACCTCAACAATTCTGTTTAAGCATTTCTAAACGCACAAATTATAAAAGTGAATTTGATAATGGTGTTGTTATAGCTCACGCGACAGAGCGCCTTTCGATTGAGTGTTGCAATGTCAAAACCAAATAGCCATAACAGCCAACAAAAGACAACCAGTCAATGAAAATTCAAAATAAAACAGGCAAATTGTCTTAAGTGAGTGATCATTTCGTGATTGGTTTTAGCTTTAAATCTGATTGTTTAAAAACGTGGCGAAATAAGCAATACCTAATTACTTTCGACGCTCAATTGAAAATTGCTCTGTCATCATTAAAATCTTGTCACACTGTAACATTTCATGTTTACTATTCAGTTCGGTGACACTGATTCTGGCCGCTGGTCGCTAAACTGTCCTTCTCCTGACCCGTGAGTAAATGAATAAATTGAAACATTTTTTGCACAGAAAGCTCTCGCATATAACAAGAACTTCAAATGAAGGTTTATCTTTGCTTGGTTATCGCGTGAGTACTTGCGCAAGATCTGGAACGCGTTGGATTCTGGGATTGCCTTGAAATTGTAAAAAGTGCCATCTCTGTCCAACAGTCTCGGTGCTTTGAAGATTCTTTACTATAGAATTGCAAGGACCTCCTTTCAGCCGTCGCAAGCAAAAATGTTCAAAATGGCTACATTACCTTGTTTCTTTGCAACTCTGTTATATGTGAGGGCTCCTTACATTAGTTTAAATCAGGAACGTATTAATCGATATCCACGCCTATTGATATTAAAAAAACAACAACTTTACTCGTGAACTCACTTATAAATCATTGCATAAAACCGAAAAGGTCTACTACTATTTCAATTCAGTCCTAAAGATACATACCTACTCGAGCCTACTCGAGACCCTTCTAAAAAAAAAATCCAGAGTTGACAGCGCTTCTGAAGCTGCTTCATGCCATAACCTGAAACGGCGAACAAATTAAAAAAACAAGAAACAAAAAGATAAAACAAAACTAACCTCAAATGTATAAAATTTCTATTTGCATGATAGTTGAATTGGGATCACATATTTAAAAAGAAACGTATGTTCAGCTATCTCTCGATTAATTTTTTTCTTTAATTTCTCTCTCGATCAGTTTCTTTTTAATTTGCCCTCTCGATTCTTACTTTTAATGTCTCACTCGATTCAGTTTTTATTTTAATTTCTCTCTTGATTCAGTCTTATCATTTCTTTCTCGATTCAATTTATCTTTTAAATTTCTGTCTCGACTCAATTGTTTTTTTTTTTTAATGTAGCGTAATGAGAACATAATCAGGGGGATGGTTTGACAATCACAACATTCTTTAAAAAGAGATCGCGGTGAAAATTTCATCTTTTTCATCGTGGCGCAATAACTGGCGTGGTTTAGTTTTGTTAAGTATAAAATCGAGAGAACGTGGGCGACAACTTTTCATCCAAAAAGCAGTTAAGAAGACAGAAATTTAAACTTACTTACAAGCTTTTGTGTGGACTTTGCAGATTCATAGACCTGGATCACATAAAACGAGCATGAGATCAACATCTACACAGTACAGTACTCACACAGAATTTTCAGAGCAACTTAGGCCATTAACCAAAGAAGGAAGACAACACAGGAAAAGCTCTAGCCATGAAAAAACATTCTTTCACAACTTCAGACCAAAAGTGTTAGGTTCCTGTAGCATTGTATAAGGACTTTATTCATTCAAACTAAGCGCGCACACACCTTTCGCCTTCGAGTTGGAGGAAGTGCGATATTTTTCTTTACGAGCGTGCAGCAGGCTCCTTGCAGCATCTGTAATTGCGCGATAACAGTCGAAGTTACTAGAAGGCTGTTCAAAGGATTGTTTTCTTAACGCTACCACATATGCCTTCATCTAGGCTTTGCTCAGAGCACAATTAAAAAATGTAAATAATGAAAACACAACACGAGTAGGAAGTAGTGCGCGTGTTGGGCCAGTGGAGAGCAGCTTCGGACAAGGCTAGTACGAATAATTTGCAAGATTATAATCTCGTCATTTGAAAGTTGTAGTGTTCTATGATCTGTAGTTGACGTTAGACCAGTGTACATAGAGAGATTTAGACTCTTAACCCTTCAACCCCCAAAAGTGATCGGATTTTAATTTCTCTTCACTGTACCACACTTGAATCAAATATAGAGGTCATGAGAATAAAGATAATGAACACCAATTTCATAAGCTCCTGATTGTCAATCAAATTCTCCTTGTCAACACCATAGGAAATGTAAAGAGAACAGTGAAGAGAATATGACTATCGTTAGGGTGTAGAGGGTTAGGGGATTTTTGATGTAATTCTTTTTTCAAAAGCGCCTTGGCTGTGATGTTTCATATATTGATTTGGACAGAAATGGGTATTAGCTTCTTTTTGGTTTCACACTACATTCACGTAGTGTAACAAATTATGTCCTGTTGTGCATCGCCGTTAATAAAAAATGTCGTTAACCGAAGTTTAGTCGTGTGTGTTGAATAATAAAGAAATTAAGATGTTACTGCGTGTTTTACCCGCTGGGTGAGAAACTGGGTATCCATTCGTTCCGTACTCACAGACGTTTCGTACTCGGTCGTTTTGTACCTAGTTTGTGCCCAACCCGCTGGTTGATTCGTACCCGTCTCAACATGACGATCGAAACCCAGGAGATCTCACGAAATAACTCACGCGCGAGCGCGTGAACAGATGTCCATTGTTGCCAACGACAAGTAAAGTTCTTTTGTGTCTACTTGTGACCCTCGTAATAATAACACGACTATACAACGCATTTTGGTTTCAGGCCTTACATTCGGTGCTCGCGTACTAAAAATGGACGCTATTGCTATTTAAGATGAGAAACTGATCCTGCTGTGTTACATTGTGAAGACCACAAAACGTAGTTTCAGAGTAGAGCTTAGTACTCGTTTTCACTGGAATATCAACTGTATGTGCAAATACATGAATTGACCAGATTGCTTAACTTTTAAAAATTTCACTGACACTGCGTGTCGGGATAACAACATTTTCATCTTTACACATCTTTTCAGGTCTAATGCTTTATTCAAAAACACATTTTCTTTAACATAAATATGAGAATATTTACGTACACTCTGTGAAATATTTACAAAGGGAACTTGTTGTATATGCATCAGATTATAAAACTTCGAAAATCATAGCAATGTTTTTCCTCTTTTGTCTTGGGTGGGAACAGGTAAAAAATAAACTTATTCTGATATCAAGAAGAACTTCGATTCTGTACATTACTAAAAACAGCTCGGATTTAAGTCTCCTCAGATCGTGAAAGTATTTCCTCACTGCGGTTACACTTTCCTCCTCTACCTATCTTCTCACTTCTACCTCAAAAGGAATTCGCTTCGCCAGAGCCGTTCCTCGGTATTTAGAGGTGAGTCAGTTGCAAGTCTTTTGAAACTTGGCCAAAGTTCGCATAAAACTCTTAAACGTACTTGATTAATGTCTCGCCAAGAAGAAAGGTACTTAACAAAACTCGAGGTCAACAATGGCATTAAAACGTCGCAACATCCAGAAGAAAAAGCTTCCTCTCATACATTGTAATTGCGATGATCTTGCGAGCGTCTAACCCGCTGCTCATTGCTTTCTTTCTCCACCGTCTGTAAGTTCAATTTCTTCACCCAATCATGGTGTCACAAATCGTCTTGAATTCAACGAGTTTAGCTACCTGCTACAGTAGAACTTTCCTTATCTGTTGAGTCAGGCGTTCAGTGTCTTGTTCTTCAACGTAGGATTGAGCGGGGATGAAATATTTCTGCGACGAATGCAGGGTCAACAAATTGGAATGTTGGTAAGGTTCGTACACTGCTGAATCGCTCTCATCCGGAAACGGATTTAGTGTCAGAGTTTTTAGGTGAAGCACCATGTTGTTGAACACCACACTACGACGGGTTTGATAGATTTGTGGTAAAGGAAATGCTGTAGTAAAAAGAAGAAGAAGCAAATCGAAAATCAATGCCTTATAAACGAAAAAATGTGTTCAAATCAGGCCATTTTTCAGAGTAATCTAACACACAGATTCTTTTTTTTCTCGAAATGTACTGCTCTCTGAGGGTTAAAAGTAAAATAGTGGCGAAAATAATTATAAAAAAAGTCCCCCGAGAGGACATGTGTTCACTGGTACTAGATAGCACACCTAATTACATTGAGCATGTGACTGCGGAATTCTTATCGGTAAACTTGTCCAACTTAGGACGCTTTCGCCGCCACATTGGAAATTGCACTTCAACATGATAACATAATGCGCACTGGCCTTCTGCCAGTAAGCACAAAAACTGAGGCAATGTAAAGTTAATAGAGCAGCTTTGGATTGAGTGCCGAAAAGCTTGTATCAAAACCAAAATAATCACAACGTCCACTCGCAACAATGGTAAACATCATAATAATAATTTTTTTTATGACATAAAAAGATCAATAATACCGAACACTGAAGAAAAAGAAAAGGTGTTACCTAAGGCGAGAGATGTTTCTCTTTCTGGATGGCAGTGACTGCAATGTGTTTCTCCAAGTCGGGTAAGACTCCGTTTGCTGAAGGAGGAAAAAAAAGTAGTTTTGATTCCAATCTTGAAAAGGTTTAGCTAAGTTTCTTTCACAGTCCCCTAATCGGAAGTTGTCACGTACCTGTGTATTTTTGGCAGGACGAGCACTGTACTTCTAGAATTATCCTGGGCCTGAACGGGTGTCTTCTCTCGTGTTCGCGTTCGCGTTCGCGTTCGCGCTCGTTCCAGTTCCTCCTCCATTCTAATCTCACAGAAGTAATTGATCGCTTCTGCAGGCATCGCTGTGTCAGCGGCTTTTCCTCCGAGGGCCTCAAGGTCAAAAGAGACTACAAAAGATAGGAAACACCCACATCGTAAGTAAAGTGAAAAGCACTGTCTTCATAATATAAATTTGATTTAAGTGCAGGAAGAATAACTTCCGCAAAAATTGTATGTTATTTCGAAACAATTACACTACATTCGGGGTATTTTAAACAAAGAACAGAACACATATGCCGAGGGAGTAAGATTAAGTTTACACTTACTAGTCGTGGGCTTGGACATCTCGGACGTTGTCCTCTGGTAGAAAAACAACAAACACAAAAAAAACAAAAATCGAAGTCAAACAACAAAACAAGACAAAGAGACAAGAAGTTGTCAATTACATCGAAAAGCTTTTCTTCCACGCTAACACACAAAACGAGAATTATAACATGAAGATTACAAATCAAACACACCTGTGAGCTTGCTCTGTCTGTCTTCAAAATTCCTTTGATAGAGCTGGGTGTCTTTGGCGTTTTTGTTCCTCTAGGTTAACAAAAGGAAAAAAGTATTTAGTAAAGAAAGATGACTAGGTGTACATTGGTTGAATAATTCATACTCTCCATCCATAATTGTGCCCATAGACAATTCACAGCTGCCATTCGTTCACTGAACTCAGTTGCAACAGACGCTACGGCTTATTGACACTTCTTACCACAAAAGTGTTCATTAGCATTGTGATACACGACTGTGTGACTTTATACCACTTTATTTGTTGTAATGCCACTTGCCTTCAAGTAGTACTTGCCCATGAAAGGTTCTTCTTCTAGCTTCCCAACCCTAAAGTTTATTAACATGCATTTGGACCCAGCGACAGGATTTTTCCAGGAATGACAATATACCTTGTTGTTTATCAAATAGGAGTTCTGACATAAGGATACAAACTCACTTGACTACACTGCCAGCTTGAGCGCGACTGATCTTGCCTGCCAGGGATCGGATATGTTGTCTAAACTGACCAAGCCACTTGTTTAGCCACTGAACACACATGTCCTTTATAAGAGCCTTCCTTCTGTTCCCAGGGATACTCTAGCACATAGGGAAAGAAAAAAAAAATTGCATAGTTTCGTGAAACGTTCGCCACATAACATAGCTTAAGTGATTGGTTTGATTACCCTCCGTAAAACAGATGGAGCGGATTTCTTGAAACCCGATGATGACGGATTCCAAGGGTAGAGAGAATACCATGACAACTGAATCGGAATCAGCGCTAATCGTGTTTCAAATGACTCACCCTAGCTTGGATTAAACAGATGCCGCACTGACTACAGACTCGAGTTTACTAGCAGGGTGTATTTCACTTAGTTGTGACTACAATGAGACATTTTAACATTATTTTTTATTGTTAGGTGTTTTGCTTTGTTCGTCGTGTACCATGTATTCGTGCATAAATGTGTACACGTACCGTGGTATCGAACAAGTCCATTTCCTTGGCAAAGTACCCAGCAGTGTCTAGTACTCCTATAGATGCTAGCAATTCTCGAACAAACTTCCTATAAATCCAAAAAAATGCACGGAAATCAGCCAACAACTTGTAATAAAAGCTTCACGAAGCATCATAATTTCATATACTGATCTCAAACAAGTGTCTGTAGGAAGGTGTTAAAAAAATAACCATGAAAAAATATTCCGAGTCGCCAGAGAGAAGTTAGTCCCTAGCTACATGAAGTTCCCATTTCACAGTCGCTTACTCTTTTGCAAAGCTGCAATAAGCCACCTATCTGGTGGAGGCGCCTAAGGCGTATTGCGTACTGCTAGGATTAGAACAATCGAAAGCAAACAGTGTGCATACACCAATGCGAGACAACAAAGATGATAAATTTTGAACTTAGTTTTAAGCATTTGCTACTAATTACCATGCGAGCACTTCTTTACTCGAAAAATTACACGTATATTGTGACGTGTAAGCTTTGTAGCACTGCTTTTTCCTATGGAAAGACAAGCCGTGTTTTTCGTTTACGCAAAATTCGTTAACTTTTCGACGTAGTCCCTTTCAAGCACGTGTTATGTATGTTTGCTGTTGCTGGCTGATATGGCAAAATACAGTCGGCAGACACACGTTTCTTACAGCTGGCTACTGTACCTGATTTCCTCATCACCATCAATAAACTGCGCCATTAGTTCAGCCACAAAGGACACTTCATACACTCTCATTGTGTGCGACAGCTGTAGAGCCACGCGTAAAAACTGTTTGGCTTGGGACGGGCCATGTGCAGTAGGATGATCCGGGATATTCAGTTCAGCTATCATGGTTCGATTGACCTTTTCGGTCGTTTGTCGGTCCAGACCCTCTTGACGATGTAAGAGCATTATGGCCTACAAAACATGAAGAGAATAAAAAAACTGGCTATCAGCATGTTCCATACAAGGAATGAAAATTTACGCTGATCTTCCAAAGATCGACCCACAAACTTTTATTGGGTGCTAATCCGATCTATTGTAATGTAATATAAGACTATTTATTGTCGATGTCGTCGGAAGTGGTCGCCCAGTCTTCCGGACAACGAGGCTCATCTGGAAACCTTTGAAATAAATTATATGTAACATCCTTTTCAATTTTCAAAGTAGCGGGTCAAAAGAGTATAAAACGAGTATAAAAAGGCTCTACACTTCAAACCAAGCCAAAGGCAGCAGCCAGTACTGTACTTACAGCGCAAATCTGCGTCTTCAGTTCATGATCAGTTGTCTTCTGAATGAGGGTCAGTAAAATCTCCACAAAGCTCTCTGGTGTCCAAGGTCTTGGAAATGTCTGGAAAGGAGTTGTAGTAGCCATTAACTTGTGCTACCCCTCTCGTTTTCTAAGTTTAGCTTTGTTTATCATCCTTCCTCCCATAGAGCATATATAAAGTTAGACAAAAACACCACCGTTTCACCACTCAACATCCTAAGTGTTGTTGATCCATTCTAAGGCCTCAGACCCAGCGAAATTTTAACTTCTGGATCCAGTTGTTCAAAGGGCGGATAACGCTGTATCCAACTGATAAATCGCTATACAGCGGATAAGTGTTACCAAAACGTACCGAGCTCTCCACCGGATAGAGATTTATCGAGTCAATAGCGTTATCCTACCTTCGAATGACTGGATCCTCTTGGTCGTTAAAACGGTACTAAACTATCCGAGGGCTACCAGATGGTAACTGAATCTATTAAACGACCCAATTCTATTAACCAGATTTCAAGTAACTATTGATGAGAAATTATAAACAACTATTTTCAGCTTCATACCTCTGAGTTTGCATTAGGGAAGAATTTGTCAAACCAAAGCGTTCCCTTAAACTGAGTGATAAACGATGGCAACGGAGACGGAGGGGGTGGGGGAGGGGTCGGAGTTGGTTCTTTGGGCGGAGGAGGAGGAGGAGAAGGAGAAGGTGTGCTGAAAAACACCAACCAGAAAAATGTGTTAGTAAAAGGGGGGGGGGGGAGGTGAAACCAAAGATCAAAACGCGTTAAAGGTGATGAATTGTTACGATCAATCAACAGGTGAGTCGAAGACGGTTTAAGTTGGAAGATAAGCAAATATCTAAGAATAAACTAAGATGCAGTTTATCGCAAGTGCGTTTAGAAATTCCCAAGTCCACAAATAGTTTATCAAAATAGAGAGATGATCAACAATAGAAAGGTTCTTGTTTTAAACTCAGAAAAAAAGTTAACAGAGTGATAAGTACTCAAATAACTCCGCTACATCTCCAGAGTCTAACTCGTCATGGAGCCCGGAATACCTTGAAAGCTACCAGCAATATCAAAAGGAAGGTTCTGAAGCTCGAAATTCTAACCAGTGGTGGGATAATGATTTTAAAAGTTGAATTTTATGAGTTCATTGCTTCAACCCAACTTCCCTTACATTTCATGACATTTAAATGGCAACTGTATTTTAACATGGGTATATGTTTGAATCATATTAGTTATTTTAGATACTTCAGGGATTGAAGACTTCTTGTGTGCTTTAAAAGATAACCAACGTTTTATGTTTAACTTTACCTTAGCTTAAGTGCTTTCGAGTCTGTCTTTAGATCTTCATTTGCACGCGAGATAAGCTCATCCAAGATTTGACTTCTTTTCTCATGTATACACATAACTTCATTTATAATTGGTACCTCGACGGAAGACGTCCGATTGCTCATGGTTAACATGCTGTAATGACTGCTGGGCAGCGGTCTTTAAACGGAAAGGGTGTTTAAATGTAGTCCACTACATATATCATTTATTCATTTGTTAATTCTTCATTTAAGCTTCAAAGAGAGAGCAATCATAAAGGATTACGGTTTTTTTTTTTTAATATTATCATTACAGTAAGGTTCAGGGGACAACTGCTTCATGTGCAACAAAATACGTAAGCATTGTTTATTGCTTTTTTCAAAACCATCAGGTGTGGTTCGTCTTTCGAACAATACACAATATGGTCCTCATGTCATTAATAGTTAAGTTCATTTTTTTTCTTGAATTTTAAACCATAACGTTAACTGACACTTCAGTTGCTCTTTAATAGAAGAGAGATGGGGGAGGGGGGGAATAAATACTGCCCACAATATTTAAGGGCGAAACTGATAAAGCTGTTCAAATACAAGAATACTATGAACTGAATTGCTACCCATCGCAAATGCACAACAGTGCCACTGTATAGCCAACTGCATGGCATTATCACAACACCATTTTTGACAGCTTCTGCTTGGGTTGAGGAACTTTGTAATGAGGGAAATATGCTCTAGATGGGGGTATTTTAACGAGGAGGGAGTCTTAAAATAGTGTTGTTTAATTTTTCCTCTAAATCAATATGTGGTACTTACGGATCTGGAGTTCGGGGCTTCGGCCTTGATATCAGTTTCTCAATCGATCGAACTGGTTTGATTTCTTTCTTTGGGGAGGGGATCCTCGGAGGCGTCGGCTCTACAGGGGGAGAGGACGGGGGAGGTGTGGGAGTAGGTGATTTGAAGAGGTCAGTGGCAGGCTCAGGTGACGGACTGTCTCTCAATGCCAGTTGTAACTGACGGGCAAAATTTAACTTTTTTCTCTCTTTCTTGCCTTTTGGACTCTCTGGAGATTTAGGAAGTTTCTAAGGAGACAAAAAAAGTTCCCTTTGATCAAAATCAGATGATCTTGTTGATAACCTCACTTTTATTAGTCTTCGTTGAAGATCAAAATGAACTCAACAGCCATGAAAAATTAACGATTCTAGAAACAAACAAACAAACAAGAAAATACAAAGTATAAAGTACAATATACTAAGCACCATGGAAACTATGGCCTTCGGTCACCATTCTTGCCGCCAGAATAACGTCAGTCACTAAGGATCTCTATACTACCTGCCTGTTCCATCTTTACAACGCGTATGTATATACTGTATGAGCCCATGATGTATAATAAGCGTCTGACGTATTACACCAGTTTATTATCTTACCTTTTTCCTGCTCTCCAGTTCTGCCAGTTGTTCTGCGGTCAACTGAGGTGGCTTCCACTTGTCTGCTTCTTCTTTGCCTTCTTCTCTCAAATCCTTGAGCATGGCCACAACAACTGAGTTTGGAATGAAGCCGTCGGGAGCAATAACAAACATCTCTTCGTCGCCCTCATTTTGATGCGAAGCCAGGCGCGAAAGCCTCTGTGATACCTTTTGAACAGACTCGCTTGGTGATGGATATTGCTTAGACTTAGGAACGTGGACAACGTATCGATCACGATCCCGATTTATGAGCGGTGGCTCGATCGGATGCCTTCGGAAATCCTTCAGTCTACGAGCTGGTGCCGAATGCGAAACCCTTGAACTCGTCTCGACGTGCGAGAAGATCTCGCTTTCAGTTTCCATGGTAAAGGGCCGGTCAGACGGCGAAAATTCGTCTCGTTCATCTGCGGGAGGAAGAACCGGCATTTCTTCGTAATCGTCCTGTAATTTAATAGGCTCAAATTCTGACATGGATAAACTTGCGATCGCTGCTTTGGGTGTTTTTTCAGGGGATGTCTGGCTTTTCTTCGACGTTGTCGATTGTCTACTGATGGAGAAAAATCCCGTTCCCCTGTCTTGGGCGTAGGGTTCCTCCTCGTCCTCGTTATCAATCCCACTGTCCTCCAGGGTATCGTCTGGAAGATCGAAGTGGGGCCGTTTGTAAAATATTTCCAGGTATTTTTCGAACGCTTCTCCGCGTACTGCTTCTGAATCGATATTAGGCCTTTTTCTACTGAATCGGTAAGTGCCATCTCTAAGTTTTTTAAGCTCACTTTCTCGCTCTTGAATCTTAGAAAAAGCCTGAAAAGAAAGTTTATGGTAGATATGTTATCCAATTACTTTAAAACAAAAAATGTTCAGTGAAAAAAATCAGTGAAATGGAAATCTCAGTGACGCAAACAAAAAGCGTGGCTAACATAACATACACGAACTGGACTTTGAACATTCTACTGACAACAACTATTCACTTGACTCTGATGATGACTTCCACACAGGTTGTCGAAATGTGAGTCACCAACACCGACAACAATCCTACTCAGAACTACACTCACCTGGACGATCGCACTACATCAAAGTCATTTGCTTCAAAAACACTTCAAATGGCCTCCTTGCAAAACTTCTTGCAAATTGTGTGAACAAAAGAAATATCGTACCTGTATTCTCCTTTCTTCTTCCTGAATTTTCTCGTCCATCTCATCCTGTGGCAAGATGTCTTGAAAACCACTGTACTTGTGTAACGAAGACTTGACTCGACCCAGTCTCTGACACTCCTCAGGTGTTAGGTTGCCCTTGATCTCTGAGTCGATCTCTATCGGCGCCTCAGCGAAGACGCGTCGAAAATCCATCGCCACCATTCGGAAAATAAACGACTGAGGCATGTCTGTGCGATTAAAGGCATAGTCAGTAATATTGAAAATGTAGAAACAAGTTAAAATTTTTTAGTCATGCTTGCTAGTATTTGAAACCGTAGTCTGCAAAGAAAATTTAACATCGAGCAGACATTGTTTTGGGAAGTGGTTGCGCTGATTTGTTTTCTTTCGCTTGGTTCCGTGGAATCTAAGTGTTCACGTATGTATATCGAGACAGCGTCAAACGGTACCAAATCAACGGGGTCTGATCGAATCAATCGTGGCTTAGAACGCTCCACTGTTTTGCTTTTGATCTACTCCACAGATTTGACGAGGAAAAGTGTGATTGGTTGAGTGCCTAGAACAGAACATATGCGTTTGGAATAATTGAACTGGAGTGAGCGAGGACAAAAGCGAGTCTTCGCCATTTGAGTCTCTCTGCTTCAAGTTCGTCACTTGCAATCTCGCACAACCCTCTTGACATGTCAGAAGAAAAATTTGCATCAACAGCAGCTTGATCTCGCCTTTTACTGTGCTTCAAGAATTTTTTTTTTATTTTTTATTTTTAATTAACCCATTATACCATTTTCTTCTTTATGGTCGCTCATTGAGATTACATATATGTTGATTTTGGTGTACGAACATTGCAATGACATGCGGTTATTATTCTGTAGTCTCCTTCAAGTTGAGTTTGTTTTGCACGTCTCACGAGGTGAATCCAACTATCGCAAGGTACATGTAGCTCAAATTGAAATACTTTCCATCTGAAGAACTCTTTACTTACAACTAGCGTAGTTAATTTTGTGCAGATGTTTCCCAATGCCCACAATCAGGTCGCCTTTCTGACTTGAGAAGCAAATGCTGGTAGGAGTAGCATTTAGTTTGATGAAGCGTAAAAGTTTGTTGGACTCGTCCCAAATTCTCACGGAGCCGTCCGCACTGCACGACGCGAACAGTCTCATCTTGGCGCAACTGGCCAATCCTGTGACGTCATCCATGTGATCCCAATCGCTATTGTGATCAAATCGTTCTGTTTTGGAAAAAAGTTAATCACGTTTGTAGGTAACTAAATGTAAAAAAATACACCTATATGTATGGCTGGTTTTAATGTTAAGCCATCGACGCCAACAACTTGTGTTGACAGATTTTCAATGACGTGAAAGACATTCCAAGAAACATCCAGTCAGTTTTGAGACAACATAAAAACTGCAATCGCACAAACAAAGAAGACGAATGTGAAAAGACAAAGTGACAGAAAAACATTCGGTTGGAGAAATTGAAATTGCGTTTGATGGACAATTTCTTTATTGTGAATACAAAACATTGTTTGGACTATGGAAAACTCACGAAAACAAGATAAGAATGACTCAAAACCATAGCTAAGGGCAATTCTCAATCTTAAAGTGCCCCTGAGACGAAAA